CTCCTGCATCCTTTCTGCTTGGCAGCCCTTGCTCCCCTCCTCCCAGAGACAGCCTTCTCGAGGCAGACCTCCCCCCAGATGACATTTTTTGGCAACGGTGTGGAAAGAGCTTGGGTTGACTTACCCTAGGATGTTTTTTCTTTCTTTTTAATGATAATTTCATCGAAAATTATGTTATGCAATCTACATAGTATAAAAATACATAAAAGAAAAAAATTACTAAAAAATGCAGAAAAAGTAAAAAAAGAGAACAGAAAAAAGAAGAAACCTCCTCCTTCATCACCAGCAAGTATAATCAACATTAACAACTTATCACTATCGCTTAAAATAAAACCAAGTATCTCCTCATCCCACACCGCACCCCTTTCTCTATAAACCAGCCTCTAAAACTCATCATGTTTTTTTCGGCTTCCTACTCTAGCCTATAGCCCTGAGATCTCGTGATTGCCTCCCATCCAAGCCCTAATTAGACCCAACCTCATATAATTTTCTGAGATCGGCCAAGAATGGTTAAGCGCTGCCACCTGTATAAAAGTAAAGTCTCCTTTAAATTGAGCTTAATCCTATGGGTATATCCTGTAGCTTTCTTGGCGACGATGGGGAAGTAGACTGCAACTGCGCTCTTCCAGGATGTTTTTGGGATTTCCCAGTCTAGCCTCAGAGCCCTGGGATTTCCTAGTGGTCTCTCATCCAAGTACTAACAAGGTCTGAACCTGCAGCCACCTGCTGTGGCTAAAAATAGATCAGTACTCTGCTGCTTCTCTGTAAGTGATCAGGGTCTCAGTCCTGGAAGTTTGGCAGTGTTTTTCTGTTTTCTCCAGGAATGTACTCATCCCGTTCTTGTTCCTTCCAGATGAAGCTGCTGTTTCTTGCCTTCCTGGTCATCTTCTCTTCGGCCCGCTGTGAGGAAGGGGCCAGGCTCCTGGCCTCCAAGGCTCTTCTGAACAGATATGCAGTAGAGGGCCGAGATCTCACTTTGCAGTACAGTATCTACAATGTTGGTTCCAGGTACATCCAGAGGGGTCAAGGGGATGTTGCCACTTTTCTTTCTGGGAATGCTGCAATTCCTAGAGGGCTGGGATATGTGGACTGCCTGTACTGGCTGTTTTAAAGGGGAAACTTTTTGGCCACTCGCTTTGCTTTAACTCATCAAGTCATAGTAACTGATTTGGAGTGCAAACTCCATTCAGTCTTAGACGTGACATAGAGGGGCAACGCATGTTGCAAAATCTACCCCAACCCCACCTTCCCATTGTCAGACCGTGAAATAATGCTGTGTTCCTGCTGTCTCCTTCCTTTCCCTGCTGGGGGGTTTAGCGCTGCCTTAGAAGTCGAATTGTCAGACGACTCTTTCCCCCCAGAAGACTTTGGCATCGTCTCTGGGATGCTCAACGTGAAGTGGGACAGGATTGCACCGTATCCTTTTCTGGAGGACCCCGGATTGACTTTTATTTATTTGATTCAATTTGGATGCCAAACAACTTTGATTGTGGAAAGCTGGCAGGAAGTTGCCTCATCTAACGACCATGGGATTCAGTTAACGATGGCAACCAGGACTGCATGGATTGCTGTCGCTAAGCAGTGTAGTTGCACTTTACGACCACATTGCTTAGCAACAGAAATTCCGGTCTGAATTGCCGTTGTAGGTTGAGGACCACCTGTAGCACTAACCTACGTGGCCTTGGTTTCCTGGTCTGGTCTGTTTGAGGGGCTGACATATTCCAGCATAGTGTGGGAATTCAGCAGCTGGTTAAGCTTCCTATGTGAACATGGCCAGTGTGGAAAGATGCTGTCACAAGGCATGTACAGCCTTTTCACTTAAGTTGATCCCAAACATATCCCTGATGTTTACATGAATGGATGTTGGATTTTGCTGGTTTTCAGTGAGCAGCCCAATCTTTGAGTCATTTGGTTGTATTCCTACCAGATACATCAAGTCCTGATTCACTTAAGCAGTGCTTTTTGGAATAAGATCCTATTGACTAGGCTCACATGAGTAACAGTACAGGTAGTCCTCGACTTATGACAGTAATTGGGGCACTTCCTACTGGCTTCCCATAACCAAAGTGAGTGGGGAAGCCGGCAGGAAGTTGCAAGTCCCAGGCTGGCAGGCAAGTAAGTGGCTGCTGCCGGGCGGGGCACGGAGCAAGAGGGTGTGCTGGGGTGGAAGGAGGTGTGTGAGAGGCACTATGCAGGTCAGGGAGGGAGTGTGGGTGCGGGAGACTTATCCCAGTGACTTGCTAACTTCCCTGCCAGCTTCCCCATTGACTTTCTGGGGAAACTGGCAGGAAAGGTTGCAAATGGCGATCGCATGGTCGTGGGCGCTTGGCAACTGGTCGTAACCGCGAACAGGTTGCCAAGCGCCCAGATCCCAATCACTTGACCACGGGGGTGCTGGGATGGCTGGAACTCTGTGGACTGGTCGTAACCACCATTCATTCAGCTGTCATAACTTGGAACAGTCGCTGACCAAATAGTCATAGGTTAAGGACTGCCTGTATCCCAAAGCACTTTTTTCTGCTGCTTTCACCCATGTGATTGGCTTCCTTAGCATTGAATTGCTCAGGGCTAGCAACGTGTCCCACACTGTGGTCCTCAGGCCGCTGAAGGCTGGCTACTTCAACTTCACATCAGCCACAATCACTTACCTGGTGCAGGAGGGGGGACAGGTGGTGGTAAGTCACAGGTGCCTTGGCCTGAGGCCACAGTCTGCAGGTGTACACTTATTAAGTTAATTAGTTACGTCTTAGGCAATATTTATTCTAATATTGGTTACTCAAGCAATATTTGATGTTACAATATTTTGATAATGCAGTATTTGAAGTTGCCAGTGGCCTTTTCTTCCCCTAATTCTATAATTTGTGCATGGAACTTGGAAAGGATTCTGTGCATGCCAAGTCTTGACCCACAATGCTGTAGGAAGCTCATTCTGACTCCTCTGTAAATTGGCTGGGTTGATGATTCCTATTTCCCCTATGAAAATTGCCTGCTGAATTCACGGTATTGGGGGATATTGAATGAGTTTCGCTATGTTTCTAGACCATCCTATTTGACTTTTTGGCCTCCCTCCTGCAATGATGAGTGGACTCCAAATGATGCTGAGCGACCCTTCCCAGCAGCCTCAGCCATTGTGGCCAAGAGGGAATAACGCTAGAAATTGTAGCCCGGCAATGCTTGCTTGGGCACAGATTCTCTGCCTCTCTAACCTGGATCTTGCCCAGCTCCAGGAATAAATTCTCCTTTAGCATTTTGTTTTCTGGCAAGGGAAGCAGGGCTGCTGGGTCTTTCCTTTTTTCATGTTATGCCACCTTGTCATCCCAAACTGAGGCAGCAATAGGAGATTTATTGGAATTTGGGATTGACTGGCTGGGGAATTCTGGGAGTTGAAGTCCGCATGTCTTAAAGTTGCCAACGTTGGGAAACACTGATCTAATCCAAGGGAAGCAGGTCAGTGAGTTTGGGGACAGGAATCTTGGTGAGCTCTTTGGTGATTTGGGGACAGAGTTTTGGGGTCCTGGCCTGCAGGGATCCCATAAATCAAGACCCCTCTCAATCTTTCTTGCTAGGTTGGCTTCACCAGTGCCCCAGGGCAAGGAGGGATCCTGGCCCAGCGCGAATTCGACAGGAGGTTTTCGCCACACTTTGTAAGTAATCTGATTCACTCTTAGACTGCTAAATCCCATAGCTGGGAATATCTGAGTAGTGTTTGGTGTACAAAACCTGGGTATTCTCCAGAAAGCTGTTTTTCTTTCCAAATGTGCCAAACCAGCCATCCCAGGAGAACACCAGAAAGTTCTGGGACTGGAGCACCACGCTCGTGTAAATGGTCCTCCCCCGAGAAGCCTCTGCTAATAGCAGACCAGGTGGGTGGGTAAACTGGTCTCAGTTTCTCTCACGCTCACTCCTTTGCTTCCACCCATTTGTAAAGCTGGACTGGGCAGCCTTTGGGGTCATGACTCTGCCTTCCATCGGCATTCCGTTGCTGCTGTGGTACTCGAGTAAGAGGAAGTATGACACCCCCAAGAGCAAGAAGAATTGAGCCGCCGGGTTGGACTGGACACCCTCCTCATCCCAGGGACCTTGGGCAGAAGCGGGAGAATCCAGGGAGCTCTGCTCATGGAGGGCCTTTCTCTGCCAACTGAGAGTTTTTTGCAGCTGCAGTTTGAAAGGAAAAAAGGAATACTTTCCCCCTTAATACCACCACCCCCCTCCATTTCTTCTCTGTATGAGACCCGCTTTCCTCTGTCAAAAAGGATTCTGCAAGAAAAGTGGTTCACATCCCTGCTAGAGGAAACATCGGAGCCATAACAAGGTTGAAACCTGGAATTGCTCACTATCTCCCTGAGAGATCTCTCCGATCTGTCGTGGCAGATTTTTTTTTTTTTTAAATAAATCTTAAACCCTGAATTGGCTGTTTGATGGGATTTTTTTCCTCTCTCTTTCTCCTTTCATCAGCCAGGGCTGAACAGCACATTAAAGAAAAATACATTGCGGGCAAGTACATATGCGATCTATATTGGATGTAGGTTTAAAAATAAAGGACTGTTGTGTAGAATCAAAATGCGAGACCCAAAAGCAAATAATCAAGGCTTCATTGCAGTGTTTATTAAACAGTACATACTGGAGGGGACCCCACCAAGGGATAGTGAGAGACCCCCCTGCAAACAAAAGAGATCCACTGATAATTATACATTTCAGAAAGGGGGAAAGGAAAAATGATGCATACGTGCATATTTATATGACGATGCAAGCATATGTAAGTAAGTAATAGATCTGGAGTTACTTTCTGCCCCTCTGCTATCTAATAACTACAAGGAAAACAACAGCCTGACTGAGAAGAAGAAACAAATCGGTTCAAATGCCAGGAAGAAGGCATCCTCCTCCAAGACAGAGTGCTCTGGGGATGTTTCGATAAGGTCTTTACAACTAGCTTAGTTCACACCAGCTCCACGGTTGCTGCACTTTTATGTTTCAATTTTATTTAGGCGCTCCCATTCATCTGAAGACTCTAAAACCATTTTCCTCACCTAGAAATGTATTTTCCTCCAATAGGATGGGAAAAAGAACTGCTCTGCATTCATTTCAGTTCTGCAAGCGAAAACGTGTTTCAAAGCAACAAGTTTGCTGACGGCGTGAGATAACATGCTAAGCTGTGGTTTGTTGAATTAATTTCAACATAGCCAATACGTTAAGCTATAAACCACAGTATAGTGGTTAAGATGCTGGCCTAGAATCCAGGAGGGGGGAGTTGTAGTTCCGCCTGAGGCAGGAAAGCCGGCTGGGGGACTCTGGGCCGGTCCCTCCCTCTCGGCCCAGCCCACCTCACAGGGTGGTTGTGGTGGGGAAAATAGGAGGAGGAAGGAGTATTAGGTATTTTTGCTGCCCTGAGTTATTTATTCTAATAATAATAAAATAAATAATAATTGCTAAGTAAATCACAGCATGGCTTCATGTGAAGTATGAACACAGCTTTCTCGGAAAGAGGCAGGATTTAAATCTGAAGGCCACAAGGAACATATTGAACTATAAATCGTGCAATTGGGGACCAGATGTTCGTTAAAATAGGGCTGGTGAGTTGGCAGCTTGCTACATCACGTGAACACAGCTAACGTGTGAAATGCTCGTCAGGTCTTTGGCGAAGATGGCCTTGTGAAATGAGCCGTTATCCTGCGTCTGGTCATCCTTTTCGAGATCGCTTCGCCTTCTCTTTTACTCTTCCATCCCTGAGCAGGGATGATTGTAAACCATGTGGGATGGTTAGTCTAATCTCAGAGTGCATGGGGTGCAATGGGGGTTAAATGCTGCTTGCTTGCTCTCTTTGCATCAGCTTCTATGAATGCAGCTCTTATCTTCCAATGTTTCTATTTACTTAATAAATCATATTTGATATCTGGGCAAATAAGGATAATTATCTACAAACTTTCCCAGGCTTCGCTGTCAGGTCTGCCTCCTGTATATCTGGGGCAGCTGCACTGGGTTTGGGTCAGCGCAACTGTCGGGGCTGCTTGCTCTGCTTGTGTGCCTGCCAGCCTCTCTCTCGCCAGCCCCCATGGCGTGCTGCCCGCTGCCTTGCCCAGCACCGCTCTTCCTCCTTGGCGCCCTCCTGATGCTGCTGCTGCCCTCGGCGTTGCCAGCCAAGGAGTCTGCCGGGCGCCTGCCCCCCAAGTGATGGCAGCCGTTGCCTTCGCCGTGGAGCAGTACAACGAGCGCAGCCCCAGTGCCTACTACTACAAGGACCTGCACATCGTGGAGGCACAGCCCCGGTATAGTGGGGGAGAGTCCAGGGCTGGGGTGGGCAGCCCTGCTTGGCCCTTTTGGAGCAGGCAACGGACCCGGGGGGGAGAG